CTGTGGTACTCTGTTGTTTTGCCTTGGGCGTCCGGCCGCTGGGCCTTGGGCGTCAAGCCGCCGCGCGGGCGGGAGGGTGCTCCCCTGGCCGCCGCGCAGGCGGAGGGTGCTCCCCTGCTCCCCTGCTCCTCTCCGTGTGGCCCACTCTACCCAGAAGAAAGCAGGGCTCCACCACACTGTCTAGGTTTGCGACCAAACCATTTTTTTGCCTGTGGTGTTTTACTTTGCCTTGGGCGTCCGGCCGCCAGGCCTTGAGCGTCAGGCCGCCGTGCGGGCGGTGTTCCCCTGCTCCCCTCCGCGAGGCTTACTCTACCCAGAACAGAGCAGGGCTCCACCACACTGTCTTGGTTTGCGACCAAACCATTTTTTTCCCTGTGGTGCTCTGTTTTTTGCCTTGGGCGTCCGGCACCCAGAAGAGAGCAGGGCTCCACCACAGTGGTTTGCGGCAGGCTTCTTTTTGCCTGTGGTGCTTTTTGTTTTTGCCTTGGGCGTCCGGCCGCTGGGCCTTGGGCGTCAAGCCGCCGCGCGGGCGGGAGGGTGCTCCCCTGCTCCCCTGCTCCCTTCCGTGTGGCCTACTCTACCGAGAACAGAGCAGGGCTCCACCACACTGTCTTGGTTTGCGACCAAACCATTTTTTTGCCTGTGGTGTTTTTTTTTCGCCGTCCGGCCGCCGGGCCTTGGGCGTCAAGCCGCCGCGCGGGCGGGAGGTGCTCCCCTGCTCCCCTGCTCCCCTCCGCGTGGCCCACTCTACCCAGAACAAAGCCAGGCTCCACCGCACTGTCTTCGTTTGCGACCAAACTTTTTTTTTGCCTGTGGTGTTGTGTTTTTTTGCCTTGGGCGTCCAGCCGCCGGGCCTTGGGCGTCAAGCCGCTGCGCGGGCGGGAGGGTGCTCCCCTGCTCCCCTGCTCCCCTCCGTGTGGCCCACTCTATCCAGAACAAAGCTAGGCTCCACCACATTGCTTTGGTTTGCGACCGAACTTTTTTTTTCGCCTGTGTTTTTTTTTGCCTTGGGCGTCCCGCCGCTGGGCCTTGGGCGTCAAGCCGCCGCGCGGGCGGGAGGGTGCTCCCCTGCTCCCCTCTGCGTGGCCTGATCTACCCAGAACAAAGCTAGGCTCCACCACACTGTCTTGGTTTGCAACACAACTTGTTTTTTTGCCTGTGGTGTTTGTATTTTGCCTTGGGCGTCCGGCCGCCGGGCCTTGGGCGTCAAACCGCCGCGCTGGCGGTAGGGTGCTCCCCTGCTCCCCTGCTCCTCTCCGTGTGGCCTGATCCCCCCAGAACGGGGCAGGGCTCCACCACACTGTCTTGGTTTGCAACACAACTTGTTTTTTTGCCTGTGGTGCTCTTTTTTTTGCCTTGGGCGTCCGGCCGCCGCGCGGGCGGGAGGTGCTCCCCTGCTCCCCTCCGTGTGGCCCACTCTACCCAGAACAGAGCAGGGCTCCACCACAGTGTCTTGGTTTGCGACAGAACCATTTTTTTGCCAGTGGTCTTTTTTTTTCGCCTTGGGCGTCCGGCCGCCGGGCCTTGGGCGTCAAGCCGCCGCGCGGGCGGGAGGTGCTCCCCTGCTCCCCTGCTCCCTTCCGTGTGGCCCACTCTACCCAGAACAAAGCCAGGCTCCACCGCACTGTCTTCGTTTGCGACCAAACTTTTTTTTTGCCTGTGGTGTTGTGTTTTTTGGCCTTGGGCGTCCAGCCGCCGGGCCTTGGGCGTCAAGCCGCTGCGCGGGCGGGAGGGTGCTCCCCTGCTCCCCTCCGTGTGGCCCACTCTATCCAGAACAAAGCTAGGCTCCACCACATTGCTTTGGTTTGCGACCGAATTTTTTTTTTCGCCTGTGTTCTTTTTTGCCTTGGGCGTCCCGCCGCTGGGCCTTGGGCGTCAAGCCGCCGCGCGGGCGGGAGGGTGCTCCCCTGCTCCCCTCTGCGTGGCCTGATCTACCCAGAACAAAGCTAGGCTCCACCACGCTGTTTTGGTTTGCAACACAACTTTTTTTTTTGCCTGTGGTGTTTTTATTTTGCCTTGGGCGTCCGGCCGCCGGGCCTTGGGCGTCAAGCCGCTGCGCGGGCGGGAGGGTGCTCCCCTGCTCCCCTGCTCTCCTCCGCGTGGCCCACTCTATCCAGAACAAAGCTAGGCTCCACCACACTGTCTTGGTTTGCAACACAACTTTTTTTTGTTGCCTGTGGTGCTCTTTTTTTTGCCTTGGGCGTCCGGCCGCCGCGCGGGCGGGAGGTGCTCCCCTGCTCCCCTCCGTGTGGCCCACTCTACCCAGAACAGCGCAGGGCTCCACCACACTGTCTTGGTTTGCGACCAAACCATTTTTTTGCCTGTGGTGCTCTTTGTTTTGCCTTGGGAGTCCGGCCGCTGGGCCTTGGGCGTCAAGCCGCCGCGCGGGCGGGAGGGTGCTCCCCTGCTCCCCTCCGTGTGGCCCACTCTACCCAGAACAGAGCAGGGCTCCACCACACTGTCTTCGTTTGCGACCAAACCATTTTTTTTTGCCTGTGGTGTTCTTTTTTTCGCCTTGGGCGTCCGGCCGCCGGGCCTTGGGCGGCAGGCCGCCGCGCGGGCGGGAGGTGCTCCCCTGCTCCCCTGCTCCCCTCCGTGTGGCCCACTCAAAGCTAGGCTCCACCGCACTGTCTTGGTTTGCGACCAAACTTTTTTTTTGCCTGTGGTGCTCTGTTTTTTTGCCTTGGGCGTCGGGCCGCAGGGCCTTGCGCGCGGCAGGATTTTTTTTTGCCTGTGGCGCTCTTTTTTTTGCCTTGGGCGTCGTGCAGCCGAGACCTGGCTACGGGGCTGGAGCGCCGCAGGCAAACACGTTTTATTTTGCCTGTGGCGTGTTTTATTTTGCCTTGGGCGTTTTTTTATTTTCCCTTGGGAGTAATCTCCGCTTCTTCTCCTCCTCATCATCATCCTCCGCCTCATCCTCCTCCTCTTGCTCCCCTCCTCCTCCTCCTCCTCCTCCTTTTCTCCTCCGCCTCCTCCCCCTCCTCCTCCCCCTCCTCCTCCCCCACTCCCTCCTCTTTCTCCTCCCGCGATTTATCCACCTCCTCCTCCTCCTCATCATCATCATCATCATCCTCCTCCTCCTCTTCTCCTCTTCTCCTCTTCTCCTCTTCTCCTCTTCTCCTCTTCTCCTCCTCCTCCTCCTCCTCCTCCTCCTCCTCCTCCTCCTCCTCCTCTCCTCCTCCTCCTCCTCCTCCTCCTCCTCCTCCTCCTCCTCCACCTCTCCTCCTCCACCTCCTCCTCCTCCTCCCCTCCTCCCCTCCTCCTGCTCCTCCTCCTCCTCCTCCTTCTCCTCTTCCCTCCTCCTCCACCTCCTCTCCTACTCCTCCTTCGCCTCCTCCTGCTCCTCCTTCTCCTCCTCCTCCTCCTCCTCCTCCTCATCCTCCTCCTCGCCCCCCTCCTTCTCCTCGTCCTTCTGATGCTGCTTCTTCTTCTCCTCCTCATCATCCTCCTCCGCCTCGTCCTACATCTCCTCTTGCGCCCCTTCTCCTCCTCCTCCTCCTCCTCTTCCTCCTCGTCGTCCTCCTCCTCCCTCTCCCCCTCTTCCTCCCTCTCCTCCTCGTCCTCCTCCCACTCCTCCTCCTCCTCCTCCTTTTCTCCTCCGCCTCCTCCTCCTCCTCTTCCTCCTCTACCTCCACAAGCACTCAATATGAATACCTATACGACCACCCTTCGTGTGATAAGGAGGTTGAGGGGGGAGGACCCAACACCTCAATCGATCGACCTCCCGATCGATCGCTATCGATCCCACTGTGGGGTTCACCATAGATCTCACATCGGTCTCATTATTGATCTCACTATCGATGTCATGATCGATCTCACGAACGATTTCACGAACGATCTCACGATCGATCCCACTATCGACCCAACAGTCGATCTCGTGATCGATCTCACTATCGATCTCACGATCGATCTCACATCGATCTCATTATTGATCTTACTGTCGATGTAATTCCCGATCGTGCGATGGATCTCACTATCGATATAACCATTGATCTCCTAATCGATCTCACGATCGACCTCCCTATTGATATCACTATCGATCCCATAGGCGATCTCACGATCGATCTCACGATCAATATCACGATCGATCTCACGGTCGATATCACATCGATCTCATTATGGATCTCACTTTCGATATCACGATCGATCTCACGATCGATCACCCAGTAGATCTCACGATAGATCTCAGTCTCGTGGCTTGCCGCAAGCGATATTTTGTAAATGCGCAACACACGGCGGGACACTAGCAGGAAACCAGCGGGACACCGCGTGGCACCGTTTGCTGGGATACTTCCTTCTGGTCCGGCCGCGGCCTAGCCACAGGAGGACTTCCTGGGACACTCGCGGGACACCGCGGGGCACCGGTTGCCGGGGTAGTTCCCTTTGGTCTGGCCGCGGCCCCGGCCCAGGCAGCTTCGCCTCGCGCGCACGCGCGCACGCACGGCACGCACGACACGAACCCGAAATTAATTTCTCGGTATAGAGGGTCTCCGTTTCACTTCGGGCTGACCCCTGAACCTCCGACTACGCACCTGCTTCCCCTGAGGCTGTGCGGAAGATCGCTGGCTCCCCCCGCAAGCTGTGTTTTTGCACACAGGCATCAGACGAAACTGCACTTCAAACGTCTGAGTTCCAATCCAGACGTTCTCGGTTCTTCCAACATGTTTCTCCCGCTGCAGCGCTGGCCTCATTGTCAGACTCCCAGTCGTTCCGACTCCACGCGCGTGATGTGTTCTTGCGCACAAGATTCGGGGGAGTGTGCTGTTCACTTGTGTTTTCCCCACCCGCTGCAGCGCTGGCCTTATGTTCGGCCTTCCGCACGTTCCGAATGCAATGCGATCTTCTGCTTCGCCAAGCGTCCACATCCGACTGAGAACAAAGAGGATGTCTACGCCATGGTAAACAATGGGAGGGATGGTAGGACGTCAGATAAGACGCAAGCGCACCTAGCTTGTCGTCCTCCCCCTCCTCCGCCTCCTCCTTCCCCTCCTCTTCCATACCCTCCTCAACCTGCTGTTCGCCAGCGCAGTGAGAGAACCGCAGTGAGAGAACCGGCTACGAATTCGAGGTGGAAGGAGTGCGCAGTTGGAGGGTTCCAAAGGTTCTTTTCGGGGGGGGATGTCTTCCAACAATGGTGGAATGGGAGGAGGGGGAGGAGGGGGAGGAGGAAAAGGAGAGGGAGGAGGAAGAGGAGGCGGAGGAGGAGGAGGCGGAAGAGGAGGCGGAGGAGGAGGAGGATGAGGCGGAGGAGGAGGAGGAGGATGAGGAGGAAAAGGATATGTTCCACCAGAAGCCACCCAGGGGGTTCGCACCCCTGTTTTGGCGAGGTTGCTCGGCCTCTGGAGGCTCTGTGGAAAACCCCTCCCCCAAACTCAGAGGAGGGCGACGTGAGACAACGCCCAGCGTGGTGGCAAACATGATCTGCATTCTGAAACCTACACCTTACACCATTACACCTTTTCGAGGAATGGTGTAACCATACGCCCTTACACCATTACACCTTTTTGGGGGATGGTGTAACCATACACCATTACACCATTACACCACTTTGCGGACAGGTGCACACGATACACCATTACACCATTACACCATTCGGGAAAATGGTGTGCGGCCTACACCACTACACCATTACACTACACCCTTTTGTGGAACGGTGTAGGATTGGCACCATCACGCCATTACACCATTTTGTTACACGCCATCACGCCATCACGCCATTACACCCTTGTTTAAACAGGTGTAAGGTTTACACCATTACACAATTACACCATTATGCTAGCACGTCGGCTGGCGAGTGTGTGCAATGCGGCGCATCCCCGCACACGCGGGATGATCTACAGGATGAGGCTGGTGTAGCCTCGCTCTTATGATCTATAGGGCGGGGTTTGGGGGGAGTGAATGTGAGGGGGGGGCTCTCGTGAAAGCTTTCGAACGCCGAAGGGTCTCAAGCTGTCCTCCTGGAGATGAAAACGGCGCCAAGGTGAAATGTTGAAAACCCCGCCGTAAGGATCCTTAGGGCCGGGTTTTTGAGAAATTGATTTGGGGTCTCTCGTGAATGTTCTGAGATGGTCGACAAAGGGCTTCAAGATGGCATCTTGGTAGATGTCACTCAACAGATTCATCAGGCGGGGTTTTCGGACACCGGGGTTGTGTGTTCCCGTGAAAGATCTGATGCGGCCTGGACAAGATGGCGTCCTGGTAAAACCCGCCCTAAGGATCTTCAGGTGGGGGATTTTGGAAAAATGATGCGTGGGCCCTCGTGAAAGAGGCTGGAGCGCTCGAAGAAGGCTCCACGGTGAGTTCTTAAAGCCCAGCCCTAAGGATCCTTAGGGCGGGGTTTCTGAAAAATGGATTTGAAGTCTCTCGAGAAAGATCTCATACAGCCAAGCCGACAACGGCTCCAAAATGGCGTCCTGGTAAACTTCGCTCTAAGGTCTCTGAAGGCAGAGCTTTCGGGACACGGATTTGGGGATTCGTTTGAAACATCTGGGACGGCCAACGAGGGTTTCAAGAGAGCTCCTTGTAAATTCCGCCCTGAGAAAATTTAGGTCAGTTGCTTTTGGGGTAATGGGTTTGTGGGTTCTCGCAAAAACAACTGGGATCTCGACGAGGGCTTCAAGGTGAGATTTCGAACGCCCCGCCGTAAGGATCCTTAGGGCGGGTTTTTGGGAAATTGATTTCCGCGGGGGCCTTGAGACACCCGCAGAAGGTTCCAAGAGGAAACTTATGAAGAACCTCCCTGAGAAGTCTTAGTGCGGGGTTTGTAGTCATCGCATGTGTGGCATTAGAGGTCCCTCGTGAAAATGTTGAAACGGCCGAAGGCAGCTCCAACATGAGTCTGGAAGTTTCGCCGCAAGGAACTCCTACGGCCGAGCCCTTGGGAAACGCACATCGGGCCTCCCATGAAATCTCTGAAATGGTTTGAGAGGTGTCCAAATGTTTTTTCTAAGGATAATTCCAAAACGGTCCAAGATGGCCTCGTGAGTATCATAAGTAATTGCATAACTCGACGTGGGGGTCGGAGCGCCGGGAGGAGCTAGAGGACTACGGGGAGGAGCGGGACCAGAAGGCGCGGTGGGGAGCTGCAGGAGACCGTTGCGGCATCGGCGGCGGCAGCAGCAACCGCTGTCCGGTTCTTCCTCAATCCCTGCTCGGACAAAAGTGTTCGCCGCGCGCAGAGCGGCAAGCACAGTACTACGTAGTAGCACACAGGCTACACGCTGGCCGTAAGAGGTAGCTAGAACATGGAAATCGAAACAGGAAGGCGGTTGAACGAGATTCGACTTGGTCGGTGGAGGGGGTATGCCAGCGACTCTTGAAATAGGAACGCGTCAAAATCTATTGCGATATCGGGAATATAGAAATAGCTACGTTAACGACCGGCGAGCGCACAGCGCTCTCAGGCAGCCTACGCTCGGAGGAGGGCAACGTGAGACAACGGCAGTGGGACAACAGTGGCCCAACCGGCTCTCAAAGTTTCTTCCCAGACCCCACTGGGGTCTACTCACAGTGGTCTTCACGCTGCGCCTAGCCGCGGCGACGAGAAGACCGCTCCGAAGGCCTGCAAAAGCAACGCAACAACTGTTCTGCTGGCCTTGAACTGGCGCCAGAGGCTCGGCAAACTCGATGGCGCCTTCGATCGGCAAAGACATCTTGCCGAAACGAACCCAAGGCGAGCGCAGCGCATCCGACGGCAAGGCGTGGCCCAACCTCACCGCACCGTACACGGCACTGAACCGCAAAGTGGACTCGCGCGGAGCCGACGGCCACTCTGCCTCCAAGACCTCTGCGATCGAGGTGGGGGCAGGCTGGTCTCCTGAGTGCAGGAAATACCAGCCTGGAGACCAGGCCCTGCCGCGAAACTCGTAACGCTTGAGACCTCGCAGCATGGCCAGCGCAAGGCATGGCCCCTGGACGGTGAACGCCCGAGTGAAGGGCGCCAGAGCCTCGGCCGCTGTCATGGCAGCAGCCCTGGCATCTGCCACGGAACCTTGGGCTTAAAAATTCCGCATACTCAATCACATAGGAGCGGCGTTGCCACCACCCCTGCGGCAGGAGCGGCGTTGCCACAACCCCTGCGACACCTAGACGGCGAAGGCTGGAGGAAGGAGACGGGAAGCATCAAGGATCCGTAGAAACGACGGGGCAACGAGAACGGCCAGCTCGGAGGGCGTCAAAGACGACCGTGGAAGGCGCCAAGAGGGCGCGCTGGAAACCCCGCCCTAAGGATCCTCCGGGCGGGGTTTTATGAAAGGTGCATTTGGCTGCTCCCTGAATGCCAAAGACGGCCAAGGGTTCGCAAACAATTCGCTGGAAACCTCGCCCTCAAAATCCTAGAGGGGAGGTTTTAGTAAGGCGCGTTCGGTCGCCACCCTGAAATCCAGTGGCGACCGTGGCAGGCGCAAAGAGGGCGCTCGAAAACCACGCGCCCTAAGGTAAGGCGCGTCCGGTCGCTCTCCTGAAAGCCCGATGGCGCCCTTGGACGGCTCCAAGCGGGTTTTCTGGAAACCCCGCCCTAAGGATCCTTAGAGCGGGGTTTTATGGAAGACGCGGTTGGCCGCCTTCCTGAAGCCCCGAGACGGTCGAGGAGGGCCCCGCTGGAAGCCCCACCCTGAGGATCCTGAGGGCGGAGGACGGCGCAGGTGGAGGCAAAAGGAAAATGCGAAGGGATAGGGGTGGCAAGGGAAATTGCGGCGTGCACCATTACACCATTGCACCATTGAACCGCCACCACGCTGGGTTACACCCGTACACCATTACACCATTGCACCACCAAGCTCCCATCTCAAAGATGGATGATGCATTTCACCATTACACCATTACACCATGCCGATGGCGAGGTTTTGGACGCTTGCCTACAAGACGCGCTTGGCCGCTCTCCTGAAAGCCCAGGGGCGACCGTGGAAGTCTCCCAGAGGGCGCACTGGAAAACCCGCCCTAAGGATCCTTAGAGCGGGATTTTAATAAGTCGCATCTGGCCGCTCCCCAGAAGCCCAGAGACGGCCGAGGGCCCCAAGAGGGCTTGCTGGAAACCCCGCCCGAAGGATCCTTAGGGCGGGGTTTTAGGGAAAGCGCGTTTGGCCGCCTTCCTAAAGCCCAGAGACGGTCAAGGAGGGCCCCGAGAAGGCTCGCTGGAAGCCCCACTCTAAGGATCCTGAGGGCGGAGTACGGCGCAGGTGGAGGCAAAAGGAAAATGCGAAGGGATAGGGGTGGCAAGGAAAATTGCGGCGTGCACCATTACACCATTGCACCATTGAACCGCCACCACGCTGGGTTACACCCGTACACCATTACATCATTGCACCATTGCACCACCAAGCTCCCATCTCAAAGATGGATGATGCATTTCACCATTACACCATTACACCATGCCGATGGCGAGGTTTTGGACGCTTGCCTACAAGACGCGCTTGGCCGCTCTCCTGAAAGCCCAGGGGCGACCGTGGAAGTCTCCCAGAGGGCGCACTGGAAAACCCGCCCTAAGGATCCTTAGAGCGGGATTTTAATAAGTCGCATCTGGCCGCTCCCCAGAAGCCCAGAGACGGCCAGGGCTCCAAGAGGGCTTGCTGGAAACCCCGCCTTAAGGATCCTTAGGGCGGGGTTTTATGAAGGCGTGTTTGGCTGCCGCCTCGAAAGCCCAGAGACGGCCACCCCACTCTAAGGATCCTTAGGGCGGGGTTTTATGGAAAGCGCGTTTGGCCGCCGCCTCGAAAGCCCAGAGACGGTCGAGGAGGGCCCCGAGAGGGCCCGCTGGAGCCCCCGCCGTAAGGATTCTTAGGGCGGGGTCTTCGGACCAGCGCTGCCACCCTGCGCAGCGACCACGCTGGACCATACCATTACACCATTACACCATCACACCATTACACCATTGCACCACCAGGCCCCCTAGGGCAACGACGGGCGACGCCCGTGAAAGCTTTGAGAAGACCCAAGAGGGCTCCGAGAGGGCACGCAAAAATGGTGTACTGGTGTAATGGTGTGGCGCTGGCTTACACCATCACCCAAAATGGTGTAATGGTGTAGTGGTGTAATTATTACCCCACTCCCCGGAATGGTATAATGGTGTAGTGCTGTAAATCTTACGCCGCTCCCTGGAATGGTGTAATGGTGTAATGGTGTAATGGTGTAATGGTGCGCCATTACACGATTCCCAGAATGGTGTAATGGTGTAAAAATGTATGTTTACACCATTCCCCCCAAAGGTGTAATGGTGTAAGGTGTATGGTTACACAATTCCTCAAAAAGGTGTAAAGGTGTAAGGGTGTATGTTTCAGAATGCAGATCCAGTTTGCCACCACAATGAGACAACGGCGGTGAAACAACGGTGATCACATCAGGTCAACATCGGTTCCCAGACCCCTCCCGGAGTCCAATCCACTGTTTGTGTTCACGCAGCGTCCAGCCGAAGCGACGAGGAGGCCCCTCGAAGACCAGGAAGGCAAAGGGCAACCCTTGTCTCACCCCTCCCGGCTCTGACAACCCCACATTTGGAACCTTCAGGCAGGCACAATGCGCCCGAGCATGCGCGGGCATGCTTTGTCTCGCGCAGCTCGCAGCGCCCTCGGCCTCACACCCTCCTCCTGCTTCTGCGGAGCACCGAGAGAGCGAACTACGTACAAATCCTTGAAATAACGAAGTCGAGCGCGGCGAAACCGACCCCTAGAAAACCGTACCCTTCCATGACGCTCCCCCGCGACTTCCGAGACCACCCCTGGCCGCATACATCGGAGGAGCGCAACGTGAGACAACGGCGGTGAGACAACGGTGGCGAAACCGGCTCAAAATCGGTCCCCGGACCCGGGGTCCAAACGCATCGACTTTTCACGCTGCGTCCAGCCGTGGCCACGAGGAGGCCCCCCGAGGGCCAAAAAGGCAAAAAGGCCACCCTTGTCTCACCCCGCCCTCCTCTGATCCGCCTGAAGACGAGCGCATCCTCTGCCTCCTCCTCCTCCTCCTCCTCCTCTTCCTCCTCCTCCTCCTCCTCCGCCTCCTCTTCCTCCTCCTCCTCCTCCTCCTCCTCTTCCCTCCTCTCCCTCCTCCTCCTCCTCCTCCTCCTCCTCCTCCTCCTCCTCCTCGTCCCCCCCTCCTCCTCCTCCTCCTCCTCCTCCTCCTCCTCCTGCTCCTGCTCCTGCTCCTGCTCCTGCTCCTGCTGCTCCTCTGAATACACAAGCCTGGGAACGGCGTCAGGAGGGCGTCACGGAAGGGTATGGTTTTCTAGTGGTCGGTTTTGCCGCCTCTGACAAGGGCGCAAGGCGCCCGAGCGAGGCGCGCGAGGGCCTGCGTCGTCTCGCGCAGTCTGCAGCGACCTCAGCTTCCTCCGCATGTTCCTCTTTCTGCTCCTCCTGATCCTCTTGCTCCCGCTCCTGCTCCTGCTCCTCCTCCTCCTCCTCCTCCTTGTCCCGCTCCTCCTCCTCCTCCTCATCCTCCTCCTCCCTCCTCCCCCTCCTCATCCTCCTCCTCCTCCTCCTCCTCCTCCTACCTCCTCCTCCTCCTCCTCCTCCTCCTCCTCCTCCTCCTCCCCCTGAACCCCTCCCCCTCCCCCTCCCCCCTCCCCTCTCCTCCTCCTCCTCCTCCTCCTCCTCCTCCTCCTCCTCCTCCTCCTCCTCCTCCTCCTCCTCCTCCTCCTCCTCCTCCCCCCTCCTGCTCCTCCCTCCTCCTCCTCCTCCTCCTCCTGTTGCTCTCTCCTCCTCCCTGCTCCTGCTCCTGCTCCTGGTCTTGCTCCTGCTTCTCCTCCTCCTCCTGCTCCTTCTCCTCCTCCTCCTCCTCCTTTTTTCTCCCCGAGCCGCAGAGCGCGCCACGCTGAAGCGTCACTCCTTCCTCCTCCTCCTCTTCCTCCTCCTCCTCCTGCTGCTGCTGCTGCTGACCCTCTCCTCCTCCTCCTCCTCCTCCCCTTGGCAGCCTCTCTCGTGGAGCTGCACCTTGCGTGGAGCTGCACCTCCTTCCCTTTGTCAAAAAATCGATGGCAAATGTTCTACGCACCGGGGGGGGCCTCTGGGGGAGGGGCCTCCAGGGGAGGGGGGCTGCAGAGGAGGGGGCCTCTAGGGACGGAGGAGGAGGAGGAGGAGGAGGAGGAGGAGGAGGAGGAGGAGGAGGAGGAAAAAGGAGAGGAGGGGAGAGCGGAGGACTCCTCATCCTCCTCCTCCTTCTCCTCCTCCTCCTCCTCCTGCTCCTGCTCCTGCTCCTTCTCCAAATCTGATGCGTACCCAACATGACACATGAGAACCCTGACGGGGGGGTCGGGTCGGGCGGGGGAACCCTATCGGGTTGGCGGGTCCGGTCGGGCGGGCGGACTCTATCGGGCGGGCGGGTCGGGTCGGACGGGCGGGCCCTATCGGGCGGGCGGGTCGGCTCGGGCGGGCGAGACACGAAAGTCTGATTGTTACCCAGCATGACACAGGAGAACCTTAACGGGCGGGGACCCTGTCGTTGTCGTCGTCGTCGTCGTCGTCGTTGTTGTCGTCGTCGTTTGTCCTCTTCCTCCTCCTCCTCCTCCTCCTCCTCAATCCCTGCTCCTTGTAAATAACGTCTCCTCGTCGGACCCCGAGGTTGACATTTCGGGCGGGCTGGGCGTTTCGCCTGAGACTTTCTCGCACTGTATCACCCGAAAGGCTTGGAATTTGCAGCAGCTACACGGACGGAGGGGGTCCGCTCGCCAGAAATGCGGTTCTCGCCTCCGCGCCGCGCACATTCGTTCTCCAAATTTGCAACAGTTTCACGGACGGAGGGCGTACGCTCGCCAGAAATGTGTTTCTCGCCTCAGCGCAGCGCACATTCGTTCTCAAAATTTGCAAAAGCTACACGGACGGAGGGCATACGATCGCCAGACATGTGGCTCTCGCCTGACCGCAGCGCACATTCGTTTTCAAACTTTGCATAATTTTCACGGACGGAGGGCATACGATCGCCAGACATGTGGTTCTCGCCTCAGCGCAACGCACATTCGTTTTCAAAATTTGCAAAAGTTGCACAAACGGAAGGCATTCGAGTGCCAGAAAGCTTCAGCGCCGCGCACATTCGTTCTCAAAATTTGCAACAGTTTCACGGACGGACGGGGTACGCTCGCCAGAGATGTGGTTCTCGCCTCAGCGCAGCGCACATTCGTTTTCAAAATGTGCAACGGCTACACGGACGGACGGGGTACGCTCGTCAGAAATGTGGCTCTCGCCTCACCGCCGCGCACATTCGTTTTCTAAATTTGAAAATGCAACCGTGTCAAAGATCGCGAAGGTATGGTGCTCAAAATGTGGCTCTCGCCTCAGCGCCGCACACATTTGTTCTCAAACATTGCAACAATTCCACGGATCGGAGAGGTCTGATGCTCGAAATGGCGTTCTCGCTTGGGCGCCGCGCACGTATCATAGCTCGTGTTATTATGATATAATATGTTCACTCGCTTTGGCGAGCGAGGCGGCGCACGTCGGTGAACCCGGTGCGGCGACACCACACGAGAGGGCCATGGAAGGCCTCAAGAGGAGGGGGCACTGAGCTCATCGCCGCAGATGCGGCGGAAGCGGCGGAAACGAAAGGGAGAAGGGCCAGCCGGGGCCCAGGTAGCAGCAGAGCGGCACGCAGTGTGTGGTTTTAAAGCATGTTTCCCGAAGATGTCTCACACACTCCGAGCTATAAAGCGTTCAGTCGCCGAACGGATGGGAGGAATATATCATGCACAACCCTTGCATCTACTTCGCGGGTGGACAGCGGCACTTTCTCAACGAGCATCTGCCGTCTCAGCGCCGCGCACATTTGACTGTCCATGGGTAAAATGGGGTACGTGGATGGACCTTTGAAGAGGGAACATGGGACGGGAGGGTACATGGCCACACCGCAGGTGCAACTTGAGTTCTCTCTGGTCCTCCTCTCCCTCCTCCTCTTCATCCTCCGCCTCCCTCTCTCCCTCCTGCTCCCTCCTGCTGCTGCTCCTCCTTCTCCTCCTCTTCCCCTTCCTTCTCCTCCTCCGCCTCCTCCTCCTCCTTCTCCCCTCCCCCTCCTCCTCCTCCTCCTCCTCCTCCTCCTCCACATCCTCCTCTTGCTCATGCTCCTCTTCCGCATCCTCCTCCCCCACCTGCTCCTCCGCTTTCGCCTACTACTCTCCCTCCTCTTCCTCCTCCTCTTGCTCCTCATCCTGCTCCTCCCCCATCGTCCTCTTCCTCCTCCTCCTCCTCCTCCTCCTCTTACTGCTCCTTCTCCTCCTCCTTATCCTCCTCCTTTTCCTCCTCCTTATCCTCCTCCTGTTCCTCCGCCTCCTCCTCCTCTTCCTCTCCTTCTCCTCTTCATCCTCCTCCTCCTCATCATCCTCCTCTTCCTCCTTTCACTCTTCTTCATCGTCCTACTCCACCTGCTCCTCCGATACCGCCTACTACTCTTCTTCTTCCTCCTCATCCTCATCCTGCTCCTCCCCCGTCTTCCTCCTCCTCCTCCTGCTCCTCCTTCTCCTCCTCTTCCTCCTCCTCCTCCTCCTCCCCCTCCTCTTCCTCTTCCTCCTCCTCCTCCTCTTCCTGCTCCCCCTTCTCCTCTTCCTCCTCCTCCTCTTCCCCCTCATCCTCCTCTTCCTCCTCCTCCTCCTCCTCTTCCCCCTCATCCTCCTGTTCCTCTTCATCCTCCTCCTTATTCTCCTCCTCATCCTCCTCCTCGTCGTCCTCCTCCTCCTCTTCCTCCTCCTTCTCCTTCTCTTCTTTTCTGATTCTCTGATCCGGCGCGCGGGACGGATCGGGCGAGCGGGACACTAAAGCCTGCTTTGTCGCCACGGATCCGGCGCGCGGGACGGGTCGGGCGAGAGAAACCCTAACGGGCGGGTCGGGACGGGCGGACCCTATCGGGCGGGCGGGTCGGGTCGGGACGGGCGGACCCTATCGGGCGAGCGGTCGGGTCGGGCGGACGGGCCCCATCGGGCGGGCGGGTCGAGTCGGGCGGGCGGGTCCTATCGGTCGGGCGGGTCGGCTCGGGCGGGCGGGACACTAAAGTCTGATGCGTACCCAGCATGACACATGAGAACCCTAACGGGCGGGGACCATGTCGTTGTCGTCACCGTCGTCGTCGTTTGTCCTCTTCCTCGTCGTCGTCGTCCTCCTCCTCCTCCTTGTCCTCCTCCCCCTCCCCCTCCTGCTCCTCACCCTGCTGCTGCTCCTCCTCGTCCTCCTTCTCTTGCTGCTCCCCTTCTTCCTCCTCCTCATTATTCTCTTCCTCCTGCTCCTCCTTTTCCTCCTCCTCCTGCTCCTCCTCCTCCTCATCCCAGAAGAGAAATGAGCTGCGTGGTGGAATTTAAGTAATAATAATGAAATAGCAACGGTCATAACCATAACTTCCACCAGGTATTATTTCCTCGAAATCAAATATCTAACACTATGATCATAACCGCTCCCACGAGAAAACATGAGCTTGGTGGTGGGATAAGAATGATAAGCATAAGCATGTTGCTTCTTAGTAGTAGTATCAGTCATATGTTTATTGTTTTTGAATACCTATAGCCATAACCACACCCATAACTACAACCCTGCATTGTTTAAGATTCGTTTACAACTCTATGGTTCGTGCTTTCTCCCCCTTGCCGCTCCGCCTCCCAGAAAGCACGCAGGCGCAGGATGTTTAACCGCGCCGCGGCGGGCACTGGTGTGTGCCTGGGAGCGCGGCCTCGCTCACTCGGCGTGGTTGTACCTCTTCCTGCCCTCAACCTACGCCGAGTGGATGTCCTCCTCACTCAGCGCGGCAGCTTGGGTGGGCCCAGGCCTCGCCCGAGCAGGCAGCCAGCCACTGCGGCGCCTTTTCCACGCACCCCCCGGTTGGCGTAACTCGGGAGGGCACGTGG